CCCCAGGAGCCCCATCGTAAATGCACCAAACAATTCCTCAAGATTTTCCAAAACACTACTCTGTTTTGGGCTCCTGGGGAACTTTGAAGTAGCACCAAAGCTTTAAGATCTCTCCAGCTGTCACCTGGAGACTGGCAACAGCTTGTCTGGAGTGTGGGCAGCATGGCATTGTATCTGTCTGAGGTCCCCCTCTTCCTCCTCCTCCTCATATCCCACCCTCAGCAGGCTTCATCCCTAAAATATCCTGGAAGTTTCCAACCTGGAGTTGGCAACCCTAAGTCCTGGAGTTCGAACCTGGAGTTGGCAACCATCAGCCAACGTTTATCTGCCTGTCTGTCTTTACAACCCCCCCCCACACACACACACAGCCTCTGCCTAGGGAGCAGCTGACATCATTCTCCTCTCCCAACTGAAAATTCCAACTGCCTTGGGGGGGGGTGAGTTTGAGGTGTGGAATGGAGTGTAGTCCAATCAGCTTCCATATGTAAATGACCTTGGAACGCTGGCCGGGACTGCACAAAGCAGCCAATGAACCCAGCCAGTGTCTTCCGAGTGGCAGTTTTTTCGGCCTAACACTAAAGGGGCCAATTTTAGAATTCTGGCACCCAAAACTCTTTTATAATAAGGGAGAGATTGTTGAATAGAAACTTTTCTGTCTTCAACCCTCTGAAGATGTTATGTTGATCTTCCAGTCATGCAAAAGCTGAGGACACCAGTAGTGCACAGGCAGGAGTCCCCGTGATGCACAAGATAAACTTGATCAAGTCATATATGTGATCAGGCAGGTGGAAACCTGAGGGAGGGCCTTCTCAGTCATGGCACCAAAGCTCTGGAACTCTCTTCCTCTTCTGTTGCTGTCTTCTGCCAGTGGGTGAAGACTTTTTTGTTCCGTTTGGAATTCCCTCTTTCCTCACCAATGTTTTGTGTTTTGTATTTAACTACACACACACACACAGTTTTTAAATTCTTTTTGAAGTTGTTTTGTTGAGGTATGGGAGGTTATTTTAATGGTTTTACAGTGTATTTTATCATGTTTGTTTAAAATTGTTAGCCACCTTGGTAGCCCTTGTAAGGGCATAAAGGCAGGACAAAAATCCTCATGTAACATTGCCCAATTCTCCTGTTAGGTGACTGTGTGATTCATGCTCTCAAAATGCACAGCTGGCAGGCTGCCCCTCCATTTGAATGGAATGGCAGTGTCAGTCTGCAGAGGGCTAGTGCCATATCCTGTGTCCAGTCTTATATTTGCATTAGGTTGCCCCCTTAATTTACCAGGATTGCTATCTCCTCCCCTTCTCTCTTGCACCTTTGACAGCTTGCCTGACATCAATTCAATATATGAAGCTTTCTCCCGTTGCTGTATCTCGGGGGGCGGGGGAGAATTTCTACCTAACTTCCAGCTACTAAATTTCACAGGAGCCCTGATAGAAACTAAGCGGCGATACCACGTTCATTAGCGATGCCGAACTTAGCATGACTCTGTTGTAATACCTCGGAATTTTTTTAAAAAATGCTGATTTTTGCGAAGTCTTCTGAGAGCAAGCCGTCCTGGCGGTGCAACGGCACCTAAGAATCACGCTTTCATTCCCAGAAAGGCTCTCAACGCAAGAGGGCGGGATCGGGGAAGGGAAAGCCGCGGAGGGGGCTCGCCCATGACGTCACGCCGGGCAGCCCCTCAGACTGGCGGAAGGGGAAGGTGGTGCCCATGAGGTTGCGCGGGATTGGCTGCTTGGCGGGGAGAGGCCTTCTCCTCTCTGATTTCTGCAAATATCGTGGGTTGATTGATGGGCAGGCCGGTGCTTCTGCGTCAGCTACTCGTCTTTGCTTTGCAGGGCGCAAACGGGCCTGTCGCCCGGTTCCTAATCCCGCGTGCCAGGTAAGCGAGGAGGATCCTGCGGTCTTTGGGGAGGGAAAGCCTGGGTCGCCGGGGCCCAGAAGCCGGGAGCCATCCCTGACCTCGGGACGCTGTTGCAGATCCTGCTGGAAGGGTGGAAAGGCGGAAACCCGGACTCTTGGGCCGCAGACATCCTCATGAGAGCGAGAGAGAGCCAGCGACCGGGGAGGGGGGCGGGGGAGCCGGAACCAGAGCCAAGAGAGTGGACCAGTGGAATCCTAAACGGAGTTGCTCCCTTCTGAGTTAACTGATTTCACTGGTTTTAGAAGGATGCCCTTCTGCTTTGGATGGCACCGTAAATCTGCTTCAACACGCGCTGTTTAAGGTTATTGACCCTGGTTATCGGATCCAGCAGGCATTCTCTCCCTCTCTCGATTTTGGCCACGGGAATCACCCCGGGGATAGTATAGCGGCCCCCCATCACCTTGAAAGTTGCTAAATTCTATTCCCAAGCGATTAAACTGCGTTCTATATGTATTTCCAAACTTAATCTGGAAGATAGTAGTTAATTGTATTTTATATCTATTTTTATGTAGTTAGGTTAGAAATTGCTATATTTGTATTAGCACTCGTTATAATTTATTTTTATACGTTTTATACATTTTTATACTGTATGTCCTAATTTTTACATTTTACCAAGTTATGGTTATTTTTACTTGTTTTCTGGTCATGGACTGTAAATAAAGTAAGTAAGTAGCTGTCCCCCTTTGCCTTTAAAGCTACTCTGGAGGTGGTGGATCATGATCTTCTGTCAAAGTACTCGATGACCTGCTCTGCTCTTTTGCAATGTTGTGGTTTTTCCCCCCCCTCTCCTAAAAAGGAGAGAATTTTATTGCTTTTACATTCCAGAAAATTAGGAAGGGTATATAGAGGGGTAAAGAAAAGTGTTGAGTGATGTTAAAAATTAGTATTTTAACCTTTTATTAGTTAAGTCAAAGTCAAAATATTCTTCTGCAGCTGGACAATCCCTTTTTTCTTCTATATCTTTCAAAACCGGTTAGTTAGTGTGTTAATAGTGTCCCTTTGGGGCAATGTTGTGGTTTTACATTTTATAGCCTGGTGGCTCAAGAATTCTGGAGAGAATCTTCCCCACCCCCTTTTGTTTCCTTCTGTATTACTGGGGCCCAGAGACGATATGTATGAATCATCCTGGCTTGAGGGGACAGTCAGCATTATCATGTCTTTGGAGTGGCTACACAATGTTCACAGCCCCCGGCAGATGGCATAGACAGCTGGGATCTGGTAGAGTTTCAAAGGGATTCTCACGGCATGCTCAGAATAGTTTCACAGGGAAACTTTCACTTAGACTAAAGGTTCCTTTCAAAGCTCCTTTGCAGCCTCAACCAGGATGGTTGCAGACTGGTAAAGCAAACAAACAAGCAAACAAACCCGCCCCCTCCCCCGGCAGTGTTCCTGTGTCCTACATTATGAGTCCAGTGGCACCTTTAAGACCAGCAAAGTTTTATTCAAGGTATGAGCTTTCTTGTGCACGCACACTTCCTCAGATACATTGAAATGGAAGTTTACCAGTCCATACATGTAAATAGAGGGTGAGCAGCAAGTTAGCATACCACATAATGAAGATGTTTTAACAGATGCAAGGACCAAACAGGAATAACAAACTAAGTTTATATGGTCACCATTTGATTGAATTTAATTCCAAGGGCAAACACAGTGATGCAAATAAATATGTCAAAATTGGAGACTGATGTGTAAATGTATCCTTCTTAATTGTAGAATGCTAAGATTAAATAACTGAGACCATGTTGTTAGGATCCCTTACCGTCCTGGAGCCTAACAACATGGTCTCAGTTATTTAATCTTAGCATTCCACAGTTAAGGATACATTTACACATCAGTCTTCAATTCTGACATATTTATTTGCATTTCCCCACAGAATTAAAGCCAAATAAATGGTGACCATGTAACCTTAGCTTGTTATTCCTGTTTGGTCTGCGTCTGTTTAAAACATCTTCATTATGTTGTATGCTAATTTGCTGTCCACCTTCTACCTATATGGACTGGTAGCTTTCATTTCAGTGTATCTGAGGGAGTGTGCGTGCACACAAGAGCTCATATCTTGAATAAAACTTTGTTGGTCTTAAAGGTGCCACTGGACTCAAACTTTGTTCTACTGCTTCAGACCAGCACAGCTGCCCACCTGGATCTATATTCTATATTCTCTTTCAGAAGAGCTTATCAGGAATAAGTGGTTCTATAGTTCTGCCTTCACAGACTCCGACACATTTCTCAGCTTTATTTTTGGTGCTCTTTGCCTGTTTCCCCTTTTGGCACCTTTTCTGTTCCCAAAGTTTTAATGCAACGATTGTTCTAGATCTGAGCTTCTTCCTTGTTTTTCTGGCTGGGCTCCAGGACCTTGAACACTTGCACATCAGGCAGAAAGATATATTGTGCGCTTTCCCCACCTCTTGTGCTCCTGGCAGGAAAAGCTTTATTGATTGCATTTCTGAAGCTCTTCAGAGCACAGGAGCCTTGCCAGTAAAAAAGAAGAAGAGAGAAGAAGAGAATGGATTTATACCCCGCCCTTCCCTACCCAAAGGAGTCTCAGAGTGGCTTACAAACTCCTTTCCCTTCCCCTCCCCACAACAGACACCCTGTGAGGTAGGTGGGGCTGAGAGAGCTCTCTCTCGAGAACTGTCCTTGAGAGAACAGCTCTGAAAGAGCTTATGACTGACCCAAGGTCACACCAGCAGCTGCATGTGGAGGAGTGGGGAAATCAAACCTGGTTCTCCCAGATTAGAGTCCGCACTCCTAACCACTACACCAAACCGGCTTTGCCTGGATTTGTAAGAGTAAGTAAAACTCAGAGCGAGGAGGTTCTGCTGGTCCAGAAATACCTTCAGTCCTTTATTTATTTGGTACACTTGTATCCTGTCCTTTGTACAAGGAATTTAGTGTGGTATATATGGTTGTCCCCTCCTCCATTGTATCTTCAGAACAACCTTGTGAGGTAGGTTAGACTGAGAGATAGAGTGTCTGGCCCAAGGTCATCCAGTGAGGTTTTCCTTGGCAAGTGAAATCATAACAGCTATATATATTTTGTTTTGTTTTTTGCTGTCAAGTCACAGCAGCCTCATAGGGTTTTCAAGGCAAGAGACACTCTGAGGCAGTCATGACCCTGATGTTCCCTGGAGGTCTCCTGTCCAAATACGAGTTAGGGCTGACCTTGCTTTGCTTCCGAGATCTGATGAGATCGGGCTAACCTGGGCTATTCAGGTCATGGCAGCTATACCACACTGGCATAATTGCATTACATTAATTTTTGGTTGTTGTCATGGCAATCATATATTAGTGGAGCTATACTAATATGATCTTTTAAGAGCCTGTTTTGAAGTGGAGCTGGCAGCCAGGACAAGTCTGTACTGCTGCTTCCAGTAGGAGAAATGCTGTGCATATGCCTTCATTTCAGCATTTCTTCCTGGTCTTGAAGAGGCAACACAAGTGGATGTGTGTGCATACAACTCCTGAAGCACTGCAGTGTGTCTTCCCCAGCTGGCATGGTGCCCTGAGGGTATCTGGAATAGTTGTGAGGAGAAGGGTATGTGTGTGAAGGAGGGACAAGAGAAGTTGTCCATTCAGTGGCTCCTCAGAGAGCAACTGTGACTTGGAAAAGAGCACAGTTAAGGCCAGACACCTGTGGATGTATGTGTGGGATGAAACTGAGCTAATAGCTGCAATAGCCAGGTTATTAAAGCTGCAGATAAACTGTTCTAAAATCCTCTTCTCTGTGTAAAGCAATAAAATGAGGCATTTTAAAGCAATCCACCCCCAAACCAAACAAACCAGTATTGTGGTTTTCGTATTTGGGAGTTCATTGTTTCCGATGCTTGAAATGTTATTCTCCATTAAATGGGAACACAAACCAGGAGGGTGGTGGTGGGAATGCTAGAAGACTCAGTAATATGAGACGGGGCATGTCATATACTACAGAGCACAAAGATCCAGTCAGAGTGGACATGGCCTTTGCTCAACCAGAAACAAATGGTCAAAGAAATATGACTGGGGTACATAAGGCAGGGACTATTGCTCAGTGATAGAGCATCTGCTTTGCATGCAGGAGGCCCAGGTTCAATCCCCCGAATCTCCAGTGAAAGGATCAGGTAGTGGGTGACAAGAAAGACCGGCTTAGTGATACGTGTATAACTGCATAATAGGGCCACGGAGAACTCTTCGCGCAGGGGTTCGATTCCTCATTTATGCGCATGTGTACAAAAAGGCAAGAAACCCCCCCACTCTCTCGAATGTGCCATCTGATTGTGCAGTGATGAGCTGCACTCGCAGTGAAATGGATTATACTGGGATGTGTGATCGAGCAACTTTGTGCCAAATGCCAACGTATGGAACAGGAGCACTTCCCGACTGCATCAAATGGCACGTCTGACTACAGCCTTAGTAAGGAATCTACCTTTATACAAAAACTTTTTTTTTGTTCTAAGGAATTTGGGGATATTAGCATAAGTAATTGCAAACATGAAGTAAATGATGGCTTTTATACTACTCATTGTGGAAAACAGTAATGGTTGTAAATATTTTACAGCAGATTTCTAAGGAGACCAGACTCTTTTGCATACGTGCAGCTGTTTCCAAGCACCTTTAGGCTGTATGGCTTTATTACTTTGTCTTTGCTGCTGCCAGGTTTCATCATGTTCCAGGCATTCAGACATTCAGGTGGTAGGCATGGGCACCAACTGTTCAGGTGCCAGCATTATCATAAATCTGTGCTGGCCATCAGGAGGGAGGATGTTAACGCCTGGGAAAGAAGAGCACCTCTGGCCCCACGGCATGTCAAAGCATTAGCCGGCCTGGGATACAAGGTTCTGGTGCAGCCATCTAACCGAAGGGCCATCCACGAGAAGGTAAGTCCTGGTATGGGTATTGATGATACGGAAAGGACATGTGATGTATAGCGTCTGTTAAATTTGCATACTGAATGTCTTTGATAAGAAGCCGAAGAAGGATATTGTAGTCAATCAAGGGATGACCTGGACAGCCCAGGCTATTTAGTTCTTGGAAGCTAAGCAGGGTTAGTATTTGGATGGAAGACCACCAAGGAAGTCCAGGGTTGTGATGCAGAGGCAGGCAATGGCAAACCATCTTTGAATGTCTCTTGCCTTGAAAACCCCATGGGGTCACCATAAGTTGGCTGTGACTTGACAGCACTTTCCTCCACCACCAAAGGATGATATGGTGGGCAGCCAAGCCCCAACTGGCTGACCTGCCCTAATCTCACAGGGAGATTGAATAGGCAATCACAAAGGTTTTTTGGCAGCCATTGGCTGAGTTGTCTTTTTCCGTAAGGGAAGCGGGGGGGAAATACAGAGAAGGGGTCTAAGAAACTAGATGGAGTCAATTGAACAGTAAAAGGAAGTGGTGGTTGGAAAGGAAGATTGGAAGAGGATGAGGAGAAGGTATGGGGAAGAGCCCGAGAAGAACATGTCCTTCCATAGCTCTGTGGCAGAGCACATGCTTTGCTTGCCAGTTCTTGGCCTCTCCATGAGCAGGTCTGTGAACAATCTTTACCAGATAACTGGGAGAGCTGTGGTCGCTTCAGGTAGTCAGTACTAGTGATTTAGGTGGGTTCATGGTCTGAATTCAATATTTTGGCTGGGAAAGGATGGATAGTGAGAATGGTTCTTGTGCTGAGAGCAGCAGAAGTCAAGAAGATTAAACTTCAGATATTGATATGAAAGAACTAGCCATATCTTGGACTGTAGGTCTTTAGTGTCTGCTAATATGAAAAAAGAGTAATTTTGAATTGTTCTCTTGATCATTCGAGGAGAATAAAATCTTAACTAAAACTGGCAGGGGAGATAGTTGGCCTGTTCTCTTGGCAACTTTCTCCTTGTGAGGAAGGAGGATAGTACCCCACTGTAATGTGTGACTGGTACAGAGGAAAGTCCTGTGTTATTGGTATTAGCCTCTGTTCCTCAAGTTGCTGGGTTTCTCTTCTGTGCTCTGTTTTAGGATTATGTCAAAGCTGGTGGCATTATACAGGAAGATATTTCAGAGGCCTGTCTGATTTTAGGTGTGAAAAGACCTCCAGAGGATAAACTAATCTCCAAGAAGACGTATGCATTCTTCTCTCATACTATTAAAGCCCAAGAGGCAAATATGCCCTTGTTGGATGAGATCCTAAGAAAGGTACCGTTGTGCTTAAATAAGATTACTGAATATTTTTACAGTATACCACTGGGAAATGTAAATGAGGCTATTTATAAAGTATGGTGCTGTTTCCCTATGAAGTGGTTAAGCAATAACCACAGTGTCTTTTTTCAGTGCAGTCCAAAGCAGAGTTACACCCTTCGAAGCCCATTGACTGGTAGTAGCTTAAAGAACAAGTAACTAATGTATTGGATACAATCTCGTCAGTTTCCGGTCCCATCAGGTCCATTCAGTGGGGCTGGCTCCCAGGAAAGGGTTTTTAGGATGGCACCATTAAGCACATCCCGAACTCTTCTGCTGGGAACCGATATATTTTTAAAGTTGCTTACTTTAACTGGGCTGTATCATTTTTTTTATTCTGTGTACCCATACAAACTTTTCTTTAATTATTGGAAAAAATGCTTTGGAGTATTTATTTTCCCAAAGCCACTTATATAGCCTCATGTACATCAGTTTTCAGTTAGGGTTGCAATGGTGTGCGATCAGTGCAAAGTATGACGTGATACCGTATGTATTTTAAATGCTTGCAGCAGCCATTGTAGTATATTTTATTTATTTGTTGACTCTGTCCTTCAAAAATAAAATTGTAGCAAATTCAGTATTGAGTATGACCACTCTGGGAATGTGCTGATGATAGACTGCTCTGGTCAAACCACTGCATCTTCTCAGCACTGACCTTCCATTTCTTCCACTGCTCATTAATTTCATTAAATGCCCATGAGTTCTTGTATTGTGAGAAAGGGATGCATAATTATGCCATGCATAACTTTGTAAACCTCAATCATGTTATTCCTCAATTGTTGTTTCTCTAAGCCAAAGAGCCCTAAACTTTTTAACCTTTCTCTATAGGGAAGGTGTTCAATCCCCTTAATAATTTTAGGTGCCCTTTTCTGCACCTTTTCCAATGCTATAATATCTTTTTTGAGGTGCAATAACCAGAACTGTACATGATATTTCAAATGAGGGCACACCATAGATTTATACAGGGACATTATGATACTGGCTGATTTGTTTTCAGTCCCCTTCCTAATAATCCCTAGCATAGCATTTGCCTTTTTAAAATTGCAGTTGCACAGTGGGTTGACATTTTCAGTGAGTTATTTACCACGATTTCAGGATCTTAGGTAGATCATGAGAGGGAGGGCAGGAAAGGTTGCATCAATGCTTAGTTCTTGTGACCCTTTCTTACATGCCCAGGGAAATGCTGATCGCCACTTTGGGGTCAGGAAGCAATTTTTCTCCAGGCAAGTTTGGCTGGAGATGGTGGAGGGTTTTTTTTTTGTCATCTTCTGGGTGTGGAACAGGAGTCACTGGGAGGGAGGGAGGTATTTGTGAATTTCCTGCACTGTGCCGGGGGGTTGGACTAGATGACCCTGAGGTCCCTTCCTACTCTATGATTCTATGATCTCTCTCCTGGTCAGTTACTGCCGGTTCAGACCCCATCAACGTATATTGATAGGATTTTTAGCTCCGGTGTGCATTACTTTGCAGTTGCCCACGTTGAACCTCATTTGCCGTGCTGATACCCACTCACCCAACCTTGGCAGATCTCTCTGGAGCTCCTCACAGTCCTCCCTGGTTCTCACCACCCTGAACAATTTAGTGTCACCTGCAAACGTAGCCACTTCAGGCGTTTGGCAAATATAATGCTACCCAGGTCTGAGTCATGGTGACAGAAAACATCTGCCCTCTATTCCTCTCCCCGCAAGTGCAACTGTGTCATCCTTCAGAACAATGGACTTAGTTCAAGGAGTGCTGAACTGCTGCAGTCTGTTGGTGCTAGATCATCTACATCATCTACGATGTTTGATCATGTTGGATTGTATTAGGGAGGAGTCAAGATTTGTGTTGTACTGCAGAAAATATAATATATGAACTACTTAGAAGAAGACCATTATGTTTTGGTTTTGGGAGCTAAAGGCAAATGGTACAATCCAACTTCCTAAGTTGTATTGGAAGATGTGCTTTTTACCAACAATACTTTAAATATTTGCATAATGTTACCAAGAAACAGTATTCATCTTGCAGGCAAAACAGGCCATATTGAATTTTTTAAAAAGCATACTTTGTCAGGATATTCTTCTGTCCTACTCTACACTGAAATCTTACCACTGTGTTTAAGCAGATCCCATTAAATGTAATTAAGCCATTTAATTTCTTGTGTAGCCACCAATTTAAGTGTTGGGGTTTTGTCATAAGAAATATTATTTTTAAAATACACAGATGAATTGATCGTATGAGCAAATTTAGCTATTTTGTATTTTACTTTTAGGACATTCGATTAATAGATTATGAGAAAATGGTGGATCACAGAGGTGTGCGAGTTGTAGCCTTTGGAAAGTGGGCTGGTGTTGCAGGTATTTAGAGCAAATAATGTGTATTTAGCATTTTTACAAGAATGGTGTTATGTTGTCTCTCTTAATTAATAACCTTGAGTTGGGGGAGGGTTAGAGAACTTTGGCTTCCATCTGCAGTATGTAGCTTGATTTAGGGAGCAATCCTTACCAGGTGTTTTCACACTGGAAAGAGAATGTTGAAATGACTTACCCTCTCTGATCATTTTGTAAGTGACTGCATAGACCATTGCAGATCTCATAACTGTGGAGAATGAATACACACTGTTGGGGTAGCCAGAATGTGGCAGCGAACTCCACCCTGACCTATGCCTTTTCCTTCAAGTCTATATATGTAGTTTCCAGGGGTCTTGTTGTAGAAAAAGAGCTGCCGGCGCTCATTAGCATAACTCATTAGCATAACTTATTTGCATATGCCACGCCCCCTGACATCACCGGAAGTGACAGAAGGCCACACCCCCTGACATCACCGGAAGTGTGTCAGAAGGCCCGGCTACTTACCCTCCTGCTTCATCCTCATTCCCAAACGGAATGAGGATCGAAGCAGAGGGCGGGGTAAAGAAGGGGGCGGGGCTTCACCACGTGACCGCCCCGCCCCCTAGAGGTTCTCTTCCGGAGCTCCGTACCTGAGAGCTCCCCCCCGACTAGAGCCCTGGTAGTTTCTACATTCATATGCAGGGTTCCAGGGTGGGCAGAGGACCATATAGGCACACTACATATATTCAGTCAATATAGTGTAGTGGTTGAAAAGTGTCAGACTAGAATCTGAAAGACACCGTTTCAAATCCCCACTCGAGCCATGGGAACTTGCTGGGTGACCTTGGGCCAGTCACACTCTCTCGGCCTAGCCTCCCTCACAGGGTTGCTTTGAGGATAAAATGGAGGACAGGTGAATGATGTAAGACCCTTTGAATCCCCATTGGGGAGAAAAGTGGGGTATAAATGAAATAAATAAATAAAAATAAATTCCAATGAATATGAGGAGGTTGGGGTCAGGACTTGCTGCCACAATCTTAATCTCCTCCCTTCTCCCTAATAAAACGTTTGCTCTTCCCATGTCTGAAAAAGGGCTTCAGAGAAGATTTTGGAAGCCGGGAAATGCTGCCCCGCTCTGAAATCTCTGTGAATGCTTTTAATGATGGCCTGTATCCAGTCAAGCAGGGTGGAAGGCTTAAGGGCATTTAAGTTTTCTTAGGAAGGGGTGGTCATTTCTGCTGATCCCCCCCTCCAGTTGTCATTCACTGAGTCTCCCCCCTTTTTTCTACCGAGTGTCAGTACACCCTCAGTGAACACCAAGGCAGCAAAGTGGGAGGGGGAAATTGGTTGGAATCACCATCCACCCCAGGGCCGGATTTAGACTTGCTGAGGCCCTAAGCTATACAAAACCCAGAGGCCCCCTACTGTTTTAATTACATCAGCTGGTCTCAGAAAAATTTAAAATATATACGCCTTTTTAATATTTGAAATCATTTTTATATTGTGTTTTTATTTGAGGCCCCAGCAGATTGCGAGGCCCTAAGCTGTAGCTTATTTCGCTTATGCGTAAATCCGGCACTGATCCACCCTCAAGAATAGTGCCCTTAGGTCTTGGGAATTGTGTGGTTGGATACAGGCCATCATCTCCATGGCTTTTTGTGGTTTGGCTACCTTGGCTGGTAGTGGATGTTCTTTCTTGCCCAAGAAACGGAACTAGGTGGCATTTTGGTCCCTTGCGGTTTTGTGAATTCTATGTGACCTTCTGTTTTTGTCACCTTTGTGAACTAGGTATGATCAATATTTTACATGGAATGGGATTACGTTTTCTTGCTCTGGGTCACCATACACCTTTCATGGTAAGCCTATGTACAAAATCATTGGCATGAGTGGGGCTGTGGTGTTATTAGATGGCCAGAAAGTCCTCTTAATGTCAGCATTCTGCCTCTGGTTTCAGCACATTGGAATGGCCCATAACTACAGAAACAGCAGCCAGGCTGTGCAAGCAGTTCGGGACTGTGGCTATGAAATTTCATTGGGCTTGATGCCGAAATCTGTTGGCCCCATAACATTTGTGTTTACAGGTACTGGCAACGTTTCTAAGGTAAGGTGATCTTTCAGAGGAACTAAAATTTTCTCAGAAGAACTAAAATATGTGGTATGAATCATATCAGTTTAGCATGTACTTTCTAGAAAGACTGAGCTCCTCCATGTTTCCACAGGAAATTAATGGGTGGATCCAAAGTACCATCAATGGACTCTGCTAATGGAACACAACTTTCCTGTTTCTACTGCAGTATGCTGAACTCCCAGAAATGCTTTTGGGGGACAGGGAACTTTCAGGAACAGCTTGAGGATCAAATCAAGGGGCTCCAGTAGGAAGGGGAGAGTTGGTACAAACCCTTCCCCACCACCTTTTCTGGCAGAAGTTCCTTATGCCAGCAGAAAATGAGGCTTGGGTATAACCAATACATTTCCAAGGCTTTTTTTCTGGGAGAATGCACCGGAACAGAGTTCTGGAACCTCTTCAACAAAATTCTTTTAAAAATGTTTAAAAGTTCATGAATTTTTAAGTATACAGATTGAAAACTTCATTTCTTTCTTGAGAGTTCCGGCACCTCTCTTTCGTTTTAAAAAAAAAAAAGAAGAAGCACTGCAGTTGACAGCCCATGGTTTCATTATATGAGACAATCACCACCAGCAACCTCTCTGTCTATAGGCTGTAGCTGTGAATATTATTACTGTGGTGTGTCACCAGTAGGGATTGGCAGAAACCTCATTTTTTGTGGTTTTGTGGCTGAACCACAAACCAATACGCTGGTTCTCAAACTAAATCGGTTCATGAGCCATTTAAACCCTGCTTTCTGCCCCCAACCAAAACTGGTGTGGAGCAGAAATCAGGTTTAAATGGCTTGCAGCCAGGAGTTCACAACATTTTATAATGAAAGAGTCAAACGACATCAAAATTCAGAGAAAGCAATCAACAAAAAGCCAGTGTAAGAGAGCCCGTTTGCATAACTGAAAATATTCAACTTAATAGTGCTGAAAATAGACATGTTGATTAATAACCTATAAACTTTGCACAGCCCAAGCAATGGTTGCTGTGAGTCCTCTGTTAGCAAGATTTTATTTATTTATTTATTTATTTTTAGATTTATATCCCGCCCTCCCAACGGCTCAGGGCGGCTAACATACGGCAAAAGCCGCATTAAATAGATAAAATACAATAAAACAAAACCACATTAAAACACACAATAAAACCATACAATATTTAAAGTGCTCTAGTCTTCCTACATATAAATCACCCAAGACGGGATAGTGAACCCAGTGCAGCAGCCAGCTGTCTCTAGCGCGGTCTCCAGTAGCGCTGTTTTACGCGCATTCTGCCAGGCGATAGTTGGCCTATATGATGGAAACAACAGTAGGACAATGCCACAATGGTGAAATAGTGGCAGCGGCGGCTCCTACTCAAAGGCCTGGCGGAAGAGCTCAGTCTTACAGGCCCTGCGAAACTGCACAAGGTCCCACAGGGCCCGGATCTCCTCTGGGAGTTCGTTCCACCAGGTAGGAGCCGCCACCGAAAACGCTCTGGCCCTAGTGGGGGCAAACTTCACATCTCGGGGGCCTGGAACTTCCAGGAGGTGGAGACTCCCCGATCTTAGTGCTCTTGTGGGAACATACGGGGAGAGGCGGTCCTTCAGGTAAGATGCACATAAAAGATAAGAACATAAGAGAAGCCAATGTTGGATCGGGCCAATGGCCCATCCAGTCCAACACTGTCACACAGTGGCCAAAAATACCAGGTAAATGTGGACAATCACGACCTGATCAAAGAACAAATGTAAAGAAAATAGTCGTGAGAGTCTGACCCACAATCAGGCAGTCAACAAGATTGCAAAGAAAGCGCTTTCTGTATATTATTGTCAACAAGCACTACAACACAACGAACAAATTCCTTCAAATCATAAGAAAATCCTTGTGTAAAAATACATTAACATCATCTCCGGATTATATAACAACGTTTCAAAATTGGATCTTCCTCAGGAAATATTAGAGTAGTACAAAAGCTCTCACACTCAAAGTGCTTTACAAAAATTAGGAAAGATAATACATTTAGATAGGATGCTGATCTCAATAAGTATTCAGGCTCAAATATGCTGCTAAGCTTCTAAGACGTCTCTGATGGACCTCTGTTTCATATGTTTATCCAATTCCCTCTTGAAGCCATCCATGCTTGTAGCACAGTAAGATCTCACAATAAGTAATAAATATACACAGGAGCACCCTGCATGATTCTTTCAGTACATGGCATAGATCTGTGCATGGTTTGCACTTGGATTACTGACAACTTCCCATCTATCATTTGCCTTTTGTAAAGCATCTCTAAGAAGCCCTATAGTCCCATACAAATCGTTGCCTTATCTCCTTCACATGCTGGTTATTCCAGCATCCTGCCTACGCCTCCAATATGCCTTAAGTTGAAATTTTAATTATGTTTTTTCAAGACCCTTATTTGGTTTTGTACACAAATCACAGTTGGCTCTGGAGCCAGAGATTGCTGCCACTGTGTATGAAGTTCATGAGCCTCACCATTATTTTAAGAATATCTGTTATTTATCATGTTTTTATCCTACTGTGGGTGTGCAAGGGATTGCACCTTGGCCCTAGATGCTCTACTGCTGAGCCACAGCTTTCCTCCAAATGAATGACTTGCACTGATACATGAAGCTGCCTTGTACTGAGTGAGACTTTGGGCCTGTCCTGGTCAGTGCTGTCTACTGCTCTTCAAGATCTCATGTTGAAGTGTTTTACATCACCTACTACTTGACCTTTTTAATGCTGGAGATGGAACCTGGGAACTTCTGTATGCAAAGCAGATGCTCTACTGCTGAGCCACTGCCTGTCCCCATGAACATTATGCTAGTTATCTGGAATTAGCGCAGGGGTCTTTAGAATTATTGTTTTTGTGACAACCTGCATAGCTTGTAGTATTTAGTAAAGCCAATGTAACTAAAGGTCAGTTATTTTTTGCAGGGTGCTCAAGAAATGTTCAATGCACTCCCATGTGAGTTTGTAGAGCCCCATGAGCTGAAGGAGGTCTCCAGAACTGGAGGTAATCCTAGAGAAATTCTGTAATGCCCTCAGAAGCTTTGCAGTGTCTGGTATGGATCACTCATTCATTGTATTCCTTCGCAGACCTCCGAAAAGTGTATGGGACTGTGCTCAGTCGACACCATCACCTTGTAAGGAAGAGCGATGGGGTATATGACCCTGTGGAATATGACAAGCATCCGGAGTGCTACACATCTCGTTTTAACACTGATGTGAGCATAACACGTAAAGCTCTCCTCTTTATGGGTTAGTTGTACTCTGAGGTCTTCTGTACAGAGTGTGGATCTGCTCCTCAGTTACTTGAACTAGTGGTCTGAAATACCCAATTCTGGCCTCTCTGAGGTCAGTCTAGTCTGTGTGAACCATTGTTAATTTGTTTGTTTAGCTGATGATTATCAAAATGTGTTTGATATCCTACATCTGCATGAATCTGAGGCCCACTGTCAGAAGAAACATGTAATATTGCATTTCCTTTGCAGTTTCAGTCACAGAGTGAAGACTCTGGATCTAGCAATTCATTACTACTATCAAAAAAGTCTGACTTTATTTTCCAGATTGCACCCTATGCGACTTGTGTAATCAATGGGATCTACTGGGAGCAGCATACCCCACGTTTGCTAAGCAGGCAGGATGCACAGAGACTTCTGACACCGCTCAGACCTTCGGCTTCAGCTACTGAAGGCTGCCCAGAATTACCACACAAGTAAGAAATGTTTCTTTTTTCTTTTTCTTTTTCTTTTTTTGAATAAACAAACTTTTATTAAGTAATTACATGTAGAACAAGTAATCAGCAATACAGACTGTAAACAACCAGTTTGTCGGAAAACCAAATACAATAATATTTAAACATAATTTGTAAAATCAATGCTATAGATCTATACTATCTAATACAGTAATACTGTTACTATTCAGGCTGTAATTAACCTTCTTACATTTGGCTTATCTAGAATATTTATTTTAGAAAAATTGGAATAATTAAAAAAGAATACAACAAAAGGTGTCAATTTCTTTACAAAGTCTTTGGAACGTTTTAGCGATGTAGCAGGGTCCAGTTCTATGGTAATTTTGTCAAAAACAAAGTAATCCCAGGATTTGTTTAACCATTCCTGCGTAGTAGGTACTTCATTAGATTTCCATTTAGCCGCTAATAGCGTCTTAGCTGCGGTAACTAAGATAGCAATTAAATCTCGCTCAGGTTTTGAAAATTTGAAATGAGATATTTCCCAAAGATTTAACAAAAGTAAAACAGGGGAATATGGAATTGTAATTTTTGTTATTTGAGTGATTAATTTGATTATTTTCAGTAGTAAGAAATGTTTCTTGGTGTGTGTGTGCATTTGTGTAAATTGCAAGCCCCACCCCCAGCTTCCTGGTGCCAAAACCGCTGCGGACAGGGGACGCCTGGAAAGCACCGCTGCCAGGTCCCCCACGCCCGTGCAGAAGCACTGCAGCTCAGGGGAGGCCCGGAGAGCCCTGCCCCTGGGTCCCCCGGGCCCGTGCAGAAGTGCTGCGGCTGGGGGATGCTCGGAGAGTGCCGCTGCCGGGTCCCCCAGGCTCACACAGAAGCACTGTGGCCAGGGGAGGCCTGGAGGGGCCAGCGCAGAAGCGCTGAGGCCAGGGGATGCCCGAAGA